GATTATGTTTCTTCTTCCCCGATGTTTCTTGCAAGAGCATAAAGGAACGGAAAAGTAACAGGTATATACACACATGTATTTATCCCTCAAGAACAGGTTTGTTGCAATCTGCCAAGGTGTTTGTTTTGCGCTCCGCTATTGTGTTGTGTTGAGCTATAGGAATCTAATCGAACAGATTTGTTGTGCAGATGGAAGCTTATCTTAACGGAGGGCACCTCACGGCAATCCTCTGCTCCGTCTACCACGGCAGCAAGATCTAGCAGGTATACCCACCCACGGCCACATGCCATGCGAGGACGGTGGTGAACTCCTTGGATCTAGCGGGTATTCGTTGACCACGGCGGCGAACTCCTTGTCAAATTCGCCGCCGTCAACGAGCAGACCCAAGCGCATCATGAACTGCCTGCTCTGCTCTACCGCACTTGATCTCTACAACCTCCACTGTTTGACAAACCGAGGCAAGTTGCACTACCAGTGACATGGCCATGCATAGACACACACTTCGGTCAAGCTCAACATCTGCTACACGAAGGCTTTTTGTTTCACACACAGAATTTTTATATGTGAGTTCTTGGAGTGTCAATTTTTATATGTGAGTTCTTGAAGTTAATTTTTATTTTCATTCTGGAATCAAGTCAGTCATCACACTGCAGGTGATTACTATTAGCGATGATACTTAAATATTGAACCCAATGCATGCACACATTGTTAAATTATTATTTAAACATGGAAAACAGGCAAATAATCATGTGAGACACACAACTGTGATTGTTGAAACTTGCAAACACAATTGACCACGAAAAACAGTTAAATAATCATGTCAATTATGTGGAAGTTTCTATAAATCTGCATACCTAATCATACACAAAAAGATGCTATTACGATATTTGTTAGGCCATATACTATAAAGATCCCTACCATAAATGCGTACAACTGTTCAGTTTATGCAAGTATGCAAAAAAGCAAGCAACAATTTTATTATGGATACAATTAAATTGTAGTACGACACAAGTATAATTTAAATGATGTAATACATTACAACTATGTGACAAAAAAATCGTAAAATATGTAGCAATTCTCCACAGTTAAGTTACAAATGTTTGCGTAACTTTTTAAAAATATTGATAGTATTAAAATAATGTTCATAACATTTAAACACTTCAATTATTTCAAATATTTATTGAAGAATTTTTCAAAAAAAAGAATGTTAAAAATTGCATAATTAAAAAACGTTTTTCTCATTTCTAAAAATGGTTCACACGTTCCAAAATATGTTCGTCAGTTTTAAAAAAACGTATAAAGTGTTAAAAACACCTAATTTGTAAAAAATATTTATAGCATTTAAAACTGTTTTTGACATTTAAAAAAATGTTCCCTCGTTTGAAGAATATGCGTGTGACATCTTAGAAAAAAGCTTGTAAATATTTTTAAAAAATGTTCACGTCATTCTTATAATATGTTTCGTACCACTAAAAAGATAAAATATTATGAGAGAAAAAATTGATGTTCGAAAATGCTTCCAAAAACACCCTTTTTGGAGCATCGATTTTTTTCCCACACCTCCACAAGTGTGATTCCTTCATGAAACTTGCACGCATGTAGAAAAAACATCGATGTTTCTTGCCAAACAAACTCAGAATTTTTTGAATTATTTTACTATTTTTTGCATTTTACTGTTCATCTGAGACCATGTGAGCTCTAGCTCACATACTCCCTGTCCGAAGATTGCCTTCTTTATCAAATGGCTTATGTGGTCCTAGGATTTTGTACTGAGTTTAAGTTTCTCTGTTTTTCTGCAAAGATAAATTTACTTTCATAAGTAATAGCTGCTTTGAGGAGACGAAAGAACACGAGGCAACTATTCATTTCACACCGATTATCAATTTATCACTACTCATTTTGATTGTTCTTGTTCCTTCTTCCCATAAGGGGATTTTAATATGATGGCAATGCATACAATTTATCCTGATTATATTAGTACAAAAAATTGTGCTGACTAATTGTATGGAGTATATAGGCGATGTGTTCGGTCTGATCTCGATCTCTCTCTCTCTCTCTCTCTCTCTCTCTCTCTCTCTCTCTCTCTCTCTCTCTCCAAGTTGTCGTAAGGCCGAGTTCCGTGGGACTTCTGATTTATTTGGCGAAGGCAATTAAATTGTTAAATCCATCCTCCTACAATGCCGGCCATGGCAGCTCGAATGGGTACACCGCACCGGCGTACCGGTTCCTCTCATGCGCCTGGTCCACCTCCAACGTCTCACTACCGGACTCGCGGGCTATGCCTACGGTAGTGTCTCGAGGTCGAGGGGGAAAATCCATGTCTCCTCCTCCGGCGTCACAAGGACATGCCTCGTAGTCGTCGCGACAATCTTCGCTGGTTGCTCGAAATATGTCTCCTCGCGCCCCGACATCCCGCTAGTCACCTCGATAATACTGTAGCGGTGCTTAGGCGAAGCCCTGCGACGGTAGAACATCAAGATCGTCACCACGCCGTCGTGCTGACAGAACTCTTCCCCGACACTTTGCTGGATCGGAGTCCGGGGATCGTCATCGAGCTGAACGTGTGCTAGAACTCGGCGGTGCCGTAGTTTCGGTGCTTGATCGGTCGGGCCGTGAAGACGTACGACTACATCAACCACGTTGTTATAACGCTTCCGCTATCGGTCTACGAGGGTACGTGGACAACACTCTCCCCTCTCGTTGCTATGCATCACCATGATCTTGCGTGTACGTAGGATTTTTTTTTGAAATTACTACATTCCCCAACAATCCTGGCCTATTAGAACCACTGCCAGTCCCTGATTTTGCTTGGGCACACATTACCATGGACTTTGTGGAAGGCTTGCCCACCTCAGAAAACAAGGACCTTATTCTGGTGGTAGTGGACAGGTTCACCAAATATGCCCACTTCATTGCAATGAAACACCCCTTAACTATCCAAACTGTAGCCAGAGCATTTTCTGATACAATGTTCAAGTTACATGGAATGCCATTGGTCATAGTCACTGACAGGGACAAGATTTTCACCAGCAACTTGTGGCAGCAGCTGTTCAAGTCACTCAAGATCAAACTGCACATGAGCACCAGCTACCACCCTCAAACTGATGGCCAAACCGAAAGAGTAAACCAATGTTTGGAAAACTACTTGAGGTGCATGTGTTTCCAACAACCAAGAAAGTGGCATGGATGGTTGGCCCTAGCTGAATGGTGGTACAATACAAGTTTCCATACTTCTCTGCAAATGACCCCCTTTCAGGCTTTGTATGGATTTCCTCCAATGGTAGCTGAGTCTGCACTGCCTGACTCTATCTCTAAAAACAGTGATAATCTACTGCAAAACAGAGAGCTGGCACTGGAAGTGATCAAGCAAAATCTTTCCAAAGCACAACAAAGAATGGAGCATTATGCTGACAGAAACAGACATGAAAGATCCTTTGAGGCAGGAGACATGGTGTACTTGAAGCTGCAGCCATATATAGGCACACATCATTGAGTCTGCATAGGCACCTCAAGTTACATTCCAAATTCTATGGCCCATTCAGAGTCATGCAAAGAGTAGGCCGAGCTGCTTACCAATTACTCCTACCTGATGGTTGCCTTCTGCACAACACCTTCCATGTGAGCCAACTAAAAAAGCACATTGGACCAAAGGTTGTTCCTTCCAAAAACTTGCCCCTGGTAGGTATTGATGGAGTTATCAAAATGGAGCCTGAAGCAATATTGGAAAGAAAATTAATCCCCAGACTCCAGGGCAAAATCAGCATCCCAGTCGTCAGGTGGTTGATCAAGTGGGTCAATATGCCTGAAGAAGCAGCAACTTGGGAGGACTCGGCCTTCATACAGAAAGTTTTTCCTTCCTTTCAAGCTCGAGGACAA